AACTGCGTTGGTGATAAATGAAAAATCTCTTTTCACCATTGGCTGTGCAGTATTTACTATAGCGTTAACAGTACAGTTATGCAGATTATACTTTTCATAACAAATTCATATTTTACTGTGGGCATTAAAACACTATTGTACAAGTTTCTTCATGTCAACGTTAGAAAACACTTGTAATTTCACAAATAAATGTATACAGAGTAAAAAAAAAAGATATGAACAAATTTAATTTTTTTAATAACACAAAGGACAAATTTGAACATTTTTACATATAAACGAGTTTATGTTTGTCGGCCTCGTCTCTTCAGAGTAAACTATCAAACTTATGTTTTGTTGTAACTCATGCTCATGTTCGTCAACACAACATCACAGACTATAACAGTAGAAATAAAATACAACAGTTTTTGTGTTTCTGCTATCAATTCTCACACTTCATGATCTCTCGGAGGCAGACGGTGGCGTAACAGGAGGAGTCTAGGTCAAAGTTCAAGCCGAGTGTGAGCGACCCTGGGTCCGATGCCTGCTTCTTTGCGCCGTGGCTACAGGCTGCTCTGTGCAGCTGGTAGCTGAGGTTGTGTGGGATGGCCAGCAGGGGGCGGTAGCAGCCTGGAAGGTTCAGTTTGAGGCTGCTGACTCTGAAGCGGCTCTCAGCCAGCCCATCCCCGGCCAGTCTCTCCTGGTACCAAGCTTTCATTGCATTTTCTGGATATTTTACAGAGTTCCCTGGCATTGGCAATAACACCTGAGAGGATGACAAAATATTGATGATGTAATAAAAAAAAGGCATGATTATTGCATGTGTGCAGCAGTAAAAGCACAGCTCAGGAAACGGCATACTTGTTCTAATGTGTAAACTCCTGCTTGCTCCTCTTCACGTGTCACCACATGGATCTGAAGAGGCAAAAGGTCATAACAGCAAGTGACGTATTTAAGATGAATGTGTAAAAGAGTTGAAAAACCTCGGATTTTGTGTTTTTTTTTTTGACAAACAACTTATAACGTCTGACATGAAAAGAGTCGGATAAGAAACACTTAAGCAGCTAAGGTTGAAGAAAGTCTTTTACTGTTGGGAATTAATGAGAAGTCTTTGAAAACGTCCTTTTAAGTTGTTTCTGCTCAATTTCCGATCTTACTTGGGGAGAAACGACCTCTCCGGTGTCCTCGGTTCTGTTTTGTCCCGTTTGCGTCCACACCAGGTCTCCTTGTCTGACGCCGAGACCCATGGCGGAGAGCCTGTGTGCCGCCGCGTCGTTCCACACCCTGATAACCACAAACGCGGAGCTGTTAAACACGACACAAAGGAGTCCCGTATTTCGGAGTTGCAGTTTTGCCTGAAGCTGACCTGCTACAGTAGGCGTGAGGATAGAAAACCCTTATGCTGTGCGGCAGGCTGAGCCACGCCTGGACACAACCGTCTGGGCCGGTACCGTAGCGATTCAGGGCGCGCAGCATCAGCCTCTCCCTGGGCTTGGACAGCGGCATGAGTGCTAGAGATTCCTTGGGATTATCCGTTTGAAGGAAGTGTCTCTTCGCGAGGCTGGGAGGATCATCACTGTCCTCTGGAGAGAAGAACAGACGTACAGCACTGACCTGAAATTAAAAAAAAAATGCAAAAAAAAAGTAATTAGGGAGTTTTTAAATTTGTTCTGCTACATATTACATTGATGTGGAACTGCGGAGGACCTTTGTCCTCAGGGTTTAAAATCTGACTATTCGCTAATTCGTCTCTGCTCTTCTTCACATGGATGTGGCCACTTTTTGTTCTGTACTCTGCTTGCAGATTACAACGCTTGCACATACATTCTGAAATCATGACAAGCAGTAAAATGTAAAGACAAAAAAAAGCATGAAATACATATGTACAGTAATAATGAAGTCGTATTTTGTTTCCTGTACTGATGTAACGTAATGAAATGTAATTAAGTACAAAATAAAATCTCAAAAAAAAAACAACTGATAAAGAGATGATAATGACATAAAAACTAATGAAAATGAAAGAAAAAAAAATTCAAATCAATACAATACCAGCACTAAATATAAACTCTGACATACAGTTTGTTTTAATGGACCGATGTAAAGTTAAGGATCATTTTCACTCCAGTGTCTTACCATATCCTCTTTCAGCAGAGCCAATCCAACTCGATCTGACAAAACGCTTTGTCCGCTTCCAAACCTCTGTGGCCCATAGTAGTTGACAAAACCTCTTCTCTGCAGAGACACAATACAGATGAATACGGCAGTAGCAAGTGTAGCCACTTATGACAGCAGTTATGCGTACAGCAGCGATGTTTTTGGCATCGCAAATATTCCTCTGACATAACTTCAAAATCATTTTATTTCATGAGGTTTTGTTGATCACACTTTTTAGTTTACAACAGTGTTTGCTTGTGCTCATAAAACCGCCCAACATATTCTTTGTGCAACACACTTGTGTAAACGATGGCCAGATTTAAGCTACGAGACCTTTACGTTCTCCAAGGCTTCCTTTACGAGAGCCGCCAGGCCAGCGTCCGCGTCGGCACCGGAGAGGTGTTCGTTGGAGGCTCCGTGTGGTCTGAGGTTGCGGACCACCAGGTCAAAGTGATTCCCGCGCAGCCGTCCCAGCTTGAGGGGCTCGTTGACCGAGCGGATCTGAGAGAGACGCATCCCTCTCTTCTCAAATTCTGCTGCTTTCTCTTTCAACCTAGAGGGAAAAAAAAAACAAAAAAAAAATTACATATTAAGCAGGCGACACAGATTTTCCAGGAGCCTCTTGATTTGTGGAGGCGACACTGCAGTACCGTTGTGGTGAGACCTTCTTGACCACCATGGACTGGTAGGTGACGGCTCTTTTGTCTTTGATGCCGGCGTAGGTGAAGTCTGACGGCAGGACCCCGAGAGTAGCTGCCATGTAGCTGATGGCTTCCAGTGTCTCCAGGTTCTCCTTACACAGGGTGAAAGCTGTGTGGCATATTAGTGGAATATTTCAACCAACTGGCAATATGCCGGAGCAATGCTCTGTGCTTCATAGACTCAAAATACTACATGCAGCCTCTTAAGAACTTAGAATAATCCCGACCTCAACGCTTATGATAATGTGTAGACCGGACCTTACCAGTATAGATGTCTTCTTCCTTGCGTTCTTCCGCTGTCCTCTTCTTCGGCTTGCCGTGCTCTCTCAGTCTCACTGAGATCGACGTCCTCCCTTGGCTGCAGAAGCTCTTTGTCTCCACCAGTTTGCCGAACCTTCTGTTCAGAAAGTGGTGCACTGCAGTCCTGTGCTCCTTGCTGTCGTCCGGCCCGAAAGTGTAGGACGACCCTCGCACCTTCGCATCGATGAACCTGAAGAAGTCCTCTGCCTCCTCCTCTTTGACCAGCCGGGCCAGCTCCCTGTAGTCGGGGTCTTCCCTCACCCGGATCTCGGGCTGGATGGTGACGGTCAAGAGGAAGGGGAAGCGGTGCCGGACAGCTCGATGGACGTTGGCTCTCTGGTGTTTGTCGGAGAAGGAGCCCAGAGAGAGCTCAGGGCCGGATGGCCGTTTTTCTCTTAGGGTCATCACAAACTGCTCCAGATCCTCACTCACGGACGGGCCTAAAATAACATCTAAATCAAAGCTTCCCAAAGCAGGGAGTGGGGTGTCTGAACCCGCCCCCCAGTCTGATGACGCATCAGCATCCTGCGAGCCAGAACAGTACAGGTTCTCCTTTAGCTCTGTGTTTGACTGGTTGTCCTCCGAGGAGGTGCAGCCGGCTGTCTGCACGGCTTGTCCTGTTTTCACCTTCTGTCCATTAATGTCGATCTCGGTGACAACAAAGTCCTCGATGAAGGTTTTGATGCTTCCAACGAAGCCTTCGTGTTTCGAGATGAAGTATGCAGGAACATTTACAGCCTCATCGCCCTTCATTGTCACCTTAAACAAAACAACACACATATATAGTGACTGATCATGAATCAACTATCAGGATTATAACACACTCAGGAATATACTCAAAAATTCATATGAAAATAACTTTTTTTTTTCAAAAACACAAAAATATTCAAGATCAAAAATATCTTTTTGCTATTTCTAATAACTCGATAGGCCAATTGGACAACATTGGATTGACAAGCATCATAAACTGCGGTGCGCTTAACATCTAGAATTATCTTAACAAAGAAATCAGACCTACCTTTACTGGTGACTCCGTCATTCCCTAAAAGCAAAGGTCTGTGCAGCTTATCTGACCTTCTTCAAATTAAACCGTAAATGTATCATGACTTTATTGAAATCATTCTGCCATTTGTTTACGGTACTGCGCCGCAAGCGCCGAGTAAACCAGCAGTTTGTAAACACGGCCACGCCGTGACACAATCCAGGTCGACTTCCGTACCACGTGACAGTCATGTGACGTTTCTTAAAGGGATAGTGTTTGCGAAAAAGTAAAGAGTAAAAATATAGATTTGTATGACTTTATGCTAAATCTGTGAAGTATTGACTTAAACTTAAAAGGCAACGGATTATTTTTCTTTCACCAATTACAAGACACTTTTATTGTCGTTTTGCATTTTTGACTGATTCCATAATACTTTATTTTAAACCGACAAAGAGATTTTCCAGTATTCTCCGTTTTTACAGTGACTACTGCGTTTAATTTGAATGTGTTTTAATTACTATTTAAACAGAGAATCTTAACTGAGCTATACATATTATACAAATTGTTCCTCTGGAACTTAAATATTACATGTACAATGCTAGGAACTTTGATTTACCATCTTTCATAACGCTGGTTGGGAATGATGTGACTTCACATGTTTCACCTCCTTTTTCTAGCTTTTATAACATTGAATTAAAAAAAATCACACAATTTATTTTGTGAATACATATATATATATATATATATATATATATATATATATATATATATATATATATATATAAAATGCCAACCTTTAAACAGTTGGTAACTACATGTAATGCGACCAAGCCAACCCCATTCTGAACACATTTTTTAAAGTCGTAATAAATCACACCACAACAAACTTTAAGCGAAAATCAAAAATCACATTTTAATTCCTAGTATTTACAGAACATTATTTAAGGTTCATGTTGTAAGTAATAATAATAATAATAATTACACAAAAAACAGTGACTGCATAAATAAAATTGGCATAACTTTAAACAAAGTACTTCATATCAGGCATTTATGGTTTAAGTGTACAGGTAGATGAATTTCATTTCAAAATGTTTAACCAAGGAGTCTCTTACTGCAAGTAGCTCATGCAGAAAAATCAATATCTGTAGTGGTGAGTGGTTCAAAAGTTTTCAGTGGAATTTCTGCTAGAAAGCTGATGACTCATTTCCCCGACAAGTATCTCTCCAGACCTCTGTGCAGTTCAGCAAGTTTTTTTGTTTTTTTTCAAATCACAAGACTGCATTTCTAATCTATGTGCAACAAAAACCAAGACATCTCTTCAATCATGTCAATCTGATCAAACATCATTCACCCATTAAATGTGCTTTTTCAACAACAACAAAAAAAAAAACTGCAACTACAACATTTCAGTTACATACAATGTGCATAACAAGAGGTCAAGACATTCAATGAGAAATGTGCCTCATTCTATTGGTCTAACCTGATTATATATGCAAGAAGTACTTGATTGTATTCAATAGAAGCATTTGTAAACACTGTTTAAAAAAAAGGTGCTGAAAGACGCTTATAAATATTATAATTATAAATAATTTCCAACAATTATTGTTCAGTTGCATGTTTGCTTAAGGGACAAAAAAAATCATCTTTAATATAACTCTTTGTAATGCAGATGGCATGTCAAGTTAGTCTATTTTTAATCCACAAACAGTGAAACAAATGGAGAAAGAAAAGACAAAGTGCATTGTGTGTGCATGTGGAAGTTTTATGTAATGTTCATCTAACTTCTATAAAACAAAATTTAACAAAAAAAAATTGCATATAATACAAGAACACAATTTTTGGTATACAGTAAGGTTGTTGAAAACTGCTTAAGATGCACCAATCTTGCTTTTTCTGCTCAATACTGATTATTTATTTATTTATTTTTTAATCTAAAATCAGGCTTGCTGATTCACATTAGGGATTTTCTTTCCCCCAACCCATAAGCAAATCTTTTCCTGGTTCTTTGATAGAGGTAGTTCTTTATAGACTGAAGATGACCGAAGTTCCTAATATTTTCAGGTTTGCACTGAATGAATATATATATTTGATTTTAATGCTGCTCCATTAATATTGATTAAACGCATTTCAGTAGGCGTTTTGTTTTTTGAAAGCCTAAACAACTAATTGACAGATAAGATTTCTGTTGACAAATTCTGACAATGTAGATGAATAATTAAACTAGAATTTTGCTGCAATTTAAATTTTAGAAAGGGAAATCCGCCATTTTCAGTAAAGCATATTTTTTTTGTTCTAATGTTTCTGCAGTGCCCTCTACAGTCTTGTACGAAAATGACAAAGGGGATGGAGGTATGCAAATGTCAGCAGACGCAAAAGTTCTTAAGCTCACTAAGAACCTTTCTGTGGAGAAAAAAAAAAATACTGCAGCATTTTCAATGTTGCAATAGCCTTTTAATCAAGTGGATTGAGATAGTATATTATATAGGAGGTATATGGTTCCTATGCATTTTTAACAGAAAAACTCTATACTTTTCCAGGCCAAATGTCCTTCCTTTTTAGCTCAGTTCACTGAATAATAAAAAATATTTTTAACAGGGGTCAGGCATATCCTAAAAACCTAACCTGCAAAAAATTGGATCATAAGGAAGAGAAGAAGAAGGCAACAACGCAAACAGATTTGTAATTAGATAATGGATGAGCAGATAGATGGATGGCATTTCCGTTCTGGTTTCTAATTCAATACTTTAACCAGGAAAATTCTGCCAAACTTTTCCACATTTTTTCAGAATGCTTAGGATCTACATATTGACTAAAAACATGTTTTTAAGAAATTGCACTTAAACCAAGTTGTGGCTTTCTTCAGAGTCACATGAAGCAAATAATACGGGGCATATTTGTGCTTGATTAACACCTTAACCTCACTTCCTGTTTGGCATACCTACCTAACGCATAACGGCTTTGAAGAAAGGTTTTCCTTTCAGAGCATTTATGATCATGTTTTTGACCAATAGATTTTAAGAATCGATAAATTACAGGATTTCCAAAGGGTTTTCAAGCAGCTAAGTACATTTAAAATACATTTTTTCTTCACCAAACATAATTTTAAGTCAGGAGACCGCAGAAAGCCACAGTCATAATTTTAAAGTTTTGGATCCCAGGTTTTATAACAAGCAGTGCCTACTGTGGTTCTGAAGGTTGGAATACAGAAGATTAGAAAATAGTCAATAGAATATCTAAATTTTAAACCATTTTTGAACACATGATGTAAAAAAAAGGTAGTTATGTGCATATTGAACTTAAAAAGAATATTAAGGGACATCTTTACATGTCCTATGGGGGAAAAAAAGCACCAGAAAAACAACTTACTGGACAAAATATCCTTTGAAAGCACAATCTTCTATATGATGGAAGCATGTAAAAGTGTGAATATCATGTGAATACAAGTAAAATTGCTTTGTTTTACAGCAGTAAGGCTTCAAACAGTAATATAATAATGTTAATCTAACCATGTAGATCACTTTCAAACATCAGTTACATGCAGTAACATGTATAAAATCATAACATATATTGCTACAGCACATTATAGCCTGGTTATGGTATGCAGCTCCATGTGCCAATTCAAACCATGTATGCTTCTCGGAGTTAATAAGTGTGTGTTTTCAACCGTGCTGCTGCGCTAGAAAGCACCGGGAACGTATCTGTTGGACTGGAGGAGAGCTATAAACTCCTGTTTCCTCTTGATTTGTCCCATCAGTTTGATGCTCATGGCGAGTAAGATGATCTGAGAACAGAAGCAGAACGCAACAACAACAAAAATGTGCGAGATTTAAGCAGCTACTTGCCAAACGCTAGGCAAGGTAGTGGACGTTTGGCGTAAATGTGATAAAGTGAAAGCCTTACCCAGAACACTCCGCTCCCAAACTGTATAGCCATCACCAAGGAGAAGGCCAACTTCAGTTCAGAGAGATAAATCGGTAGGCAAGGCTGTGGGACGAAACAGCACGGCAACATTAAAGGCTCGAAGCAGCAGGCGTAAACAGGATATTGATCTGGGTGTTGTTAATGCTGTTTTCCACTGTGTCCAATTACACCTACTGAAGTTTGCTCGCTGGCTTTATTAGCTGCACCTGACAGTGTTTGTCACACCGCACTCAAAAATGTGTCTCCAGAGCGACAGCAGAGGTCAGCGGGAAACGGCCAGTTTGTTCTTCTTTTTAATCAACTTAAATGTCAGAAGAAACGCACGAAGAAGAAGACAGCATGGAACTGGATGAGGCCAACGCATCCTGGAATGAGTAGCAGCATCTGTGCTGATGTAAAATGATCATTTATCTAATTTTTAAAAAGTCAGGAGGTCTAAAAGCAATCGCTTTGAGATAATTATTGTCAGTTCTTTTTGCATTATTTTGGTGTGGAGCATTGATACATCCTTCCTTCTACTGACATATTAAGATTGTTTGTAGTGCTGTCATATGCATCCTTTCGGGCATCATTGGTATAAATGGCTTCCGTCTCTGGCTGTGTTGGAGATTTTCTGTTTCTGTTGTTACGTAGAAACAGCATTTGGTTAACTTCTTGTTTTCTTTTGGTAAGATATCCCTATTGTGGAATCGGTTAGAGCCACTTCCTGTTCCATGGGTTTTACACTTATGCCTTTATAATCATCATCTCTAGTACTTATTCTTCACAAATTCACTGGATTTGTTAGGCTTGATTTTTTGTTGTTGTTGTTTATTGTTCCCTGTGTCATATTACTCATCACTCTTGCACTTGCAGCCCCATTTATTAAGACATAAGATTTGTCTGACACTTCAGTAACTTCTGGGATAGCACCAAACCCTTTCAGAATTGATGAAGTTATCTATCAGACTGTGTCTGTGATGCGTTTTACCTCTCGATAAACATACTGGTTCTTCGGCGCTCCGATGGTGGCGCTGCCCCGTAGTCGAATCTGGTTGAAAGACCAAGGATTAAGCTCGATTATAAAATGAAAAATGCTAAATTTCAAATCCTACCTTAATTGTTTTTCTTATAATTTTGATTGTGAATCAACAACTCAGCAGGTAGAGTCTGCTTACGTCTTAAGCTGCAACATGGTGCCACTTTCTTGTATTTTTTTTTTAACACTGTATAGAGTTCATGCAGAAGTCTATATTTGCAGGTGTAGTCAAAGTATTTTTGTTTTTAGAGCAGTACAATGAAAGAAAGCTGAAAATGTCCTTTTTGTTGTGTAGAAAACTCACCTTAACAGAAGTTGTAATATTGTTATAATTTTGAAGCCTAATTCTCTTAGCCTTAATTTTTAATATTACACCAAAAGACCAAAAACTATGTGCTTTTGTTTTTGTAACCATTTTCATTTTGTTCAAAGTACAACGTGAGGACCAAAATACATAAAATAATTGTGATTATGCTGCTAATAATTTAAAAGGTGGGGAGTACTCACACATTTTCCTGGATAGTGACAGTTACAGGAGGCGGGGATGGACGCACCCCAGTCCTTGTACCCGTCAATGAGACCGCAGCATTCCAACTGGAACAGACACAAACCGGATTAAGTTTGAACATAAAACTGAGCTACTTAATTAACAACTCGTGTAAAACGTTTACAAGAAAGCAAAGTTTTAGCAGACCAGTAACTCACTTTCTGGGAGCTCTAAATGAAACAACACCAAGGCTTCTGACATCAGCATGTGAGGTTATATTAAAGTTAAATGAGAAAGTGAGTGGCTTTTTACCAGATATGCAGTGAGTTATTGTCTCCATTGGGTGGCGATAGCAAAATTATTTAAAGTTCAACTGCTCTCTTCTAGTGAGCTTTGCCTTTCAAAAGAAAGATCTCCATTTAAAATAACTTAATTTAAAAAAAACAATACCAGAAGACATTAATTACTAAAATATTTCTATTTATTTTAAAGACCTGGAAAAGTAAGCAGAATTTACAAGAATCCATTAGATTGATTTACTTTATATTAACTGCTTAAGTGGGTTGATAATTTTATTAAGCGTTTTCTTGAAAACTACTAATAAGTTAGACTCATGATAAGAGGGAGAATTTGAAAAAAGTCGGTCTGTCTAATAAAAGATTAATTCTTTATAAATCTTTGAACCATTTTCTTAGTAGAGGCCTCAATTCATGTGGAGCTAGTGTTCTTATTAGACTCAAATTTCACAAAATTAAAAAAATATATAAAATGATGATTAAACTCTGGCTTACTTCCTCTTGGATATTATGTAGCAACGTCCTGTTGGCTTTGTTCGGCGCAGTGAGCGGCATCATGGCCAGCAGCTTGGACTCCTCGCGGACAACACGTTTCTGAAGACAGACAGAGCTCTGAAGAAAATGTTTGCAAAATATGCAACAAATCACAAGGGATTTAAACATCGTACCTCATAAACATCTTGGTAACTCAGTGCCGTTCTGATAATTATTGTTTGACTGGCCGCCGCCATCCCGGCTGCGTACTGCACACAGACACACAGGCAGTTAAATGCAATAATTATTCCTTCACAAACAGAAACTCAAAAACACACAATTTTTTATTTTTTTATTTTACCAGAATCAAACACCATCTCTTCCCTTTGCAGGCCCCAAACACACCGAGCACAGACAGCAGCAGGCAGCCGACCTCAATCACATACATCATTGCTACAGAAATACTGGGAACCATCTGAAGAGGAAAATAAAAGTGCATTTCAGTGTCTTGCAAAATGTTCGTACTGCACAAATATATTTGCGTTTTGTCACATTGCAACACTAAATGCCATTGTTTCCCAAGGAAAATGATGTATAGTTATGAATTGTTTTTACAAATAAGTATGGTGAACCTCAACTTTGGTTTACGGTCTTTAGTTGTCTTTGGAAATGGAACTTATGGCTTTTGATTAACCGTTGCTTTCTTCTTGTCACACTTTCAAATTTTCACTTGGTAGAAAATTTAAACATGTTGAAAATTTACTACTTCCCTTCTACACGCTACTTCAGATTAGTCTGTCAGGTAACATCCCCTAGAGATGGAGTTTATGATATAAATGTCTACTAATTTGATCTGAACAGGCGCAGTACCTGTATAGCATGATGAAGCTTCAGTATCTAACTTCTGAAGACAACTCAACATCTTCCTCTCAAATAGTTGAACAACCAGGTTATTCCAGGGGGACAAAATAGAAATATTGCTTCCATTTTGCATTTGGATTTCATTAATAATTCCTCACCTGCCTCGTTAGCTTTTTTCATCCCTCAGCAAACATGGCTTTACTTAAAAGCAACATACATACATATAATTGCAGCAAAAAACATTATAAGTACATCTTACCTTGCCTGTTTGTATGAGGTCCCTATGCCAAATAACAGTCATCCTCAACATGAAGAAACACAAAGCCTAGAAAAAACATAAACACTTATTTATTTCTCAAATTATGTTTGCTTTTAGATCATTTGAAGCAGGTTTAATTCAGCTTTCTGACATCTGAAATTACATATTACAGCTTGTATTGTAAATCCTTTAAAGGTTATGTTTTCTTGAACCCACTGCTGTTCCTTCTTAAAGGAGCAGTGACTTATTTAGAAAAGAAAGAAAAGCAGTAAAAAAATAAATAAAAAAACACAAACCACTCAAAATATCGACCTGCTTGCATGTTAACTCGTGTGACCCCCTTCAAATATATAATTTATTTATATAACAGTAGTATTTATGTAAATAATTTACACATTTTAAGAACAGGCCTGTTCGGGTAAACTCCATTCACAGCCGTTGGAATGTACTTACCATATGTACCGCGTTAGCGAAAATAAACGGCCTTTTCAGGCTCGTTTTGTCCGCCACCACGACCACGGAGCTCTTCTGCATTCTCGCTGCTGACTCTTCCAGGCTTTAAAAAAAACCCTTAGTTTTTATTTGACATAAGAAGACAACAGAAAGAAGCTTGCGGTGGAGACTGTAAGGGCATCTGTCGTCTGCATCCGCAAAGGGACGTCACTGTGATGTGCTGGATGCTGGCTCCGCGCTGCCTTCAGGTGCCGTCCTGAAGTGTAGGAAATAAGAGCTATGGTAGTTATTAACAGCCCGGTTATTATAAAAGCGCATTAGCGAGGCTGTAACTAGGATTATAGACATGTTAAGTAACTGGAATCTACGTTTAATTGCTTTTTAAGCTTTAGATATAATTTAATCCTATAAAATGTAATTTATCTAATGTTTTGAAATGTTTTGAATTCAAAATGGTTTATTCTCCTGAAAGAAAAATCATCAAAAATATGGCAAATCGTAAATGATCTGTTCTGGATGTTTTACAAAAATCCAGTACTTTATAATAAATTAAATGTAATATTGGAACTCTAATCAATTTTATGGCTCTCTTTTCATCCCCGCACCAATTCTGGCTGTGTCTTTTACTTTAAAAATCTTCAACCCCATCAATGTTTATCCATTCAGACCAAGAAACCAAGCTTCCACTGGTATATGAGTCATAATCCACTATCACTTTGTATTCCGCGAGTGTGGTCCAGCGCTTTCTTTCTTCTCCAAGAAATCTCAGGGAAATCTTAAAATTGATAGGATTGTACTCCAAATTATATCGAACATCCCAGATTTTATTTTGAGATCTAGTAGTTTAAATAAGCCCAATCACAGTAGTTGCATCATTCTTTGAATATGATTCCTTATTCCAATCTAATTACAGGTTAGAAATGTTTATGTTAACATACTTGTTTTGGAATTGCTAGTCAGGAATTGATAAATCAACAACTTAGCTCAATTTATTTATTTAGCAGTCCAATCAAAATTATATCACATCACAATCAAATCTGGTTGAATAGTTCATTCTAGTTGGTACAAGTTGTCCAATACTGAATCCACCCGAAGCAAGTATGTGGCAACAGTGGAGAGGCACCACTCCCTTTTAACAAGAGAAGACTGCAGCAGATCCAAGCAATCTGTACTATTGCTGTTAATAACTTTTTCAGTAACACATGAAGCTTTAGATTGTGTTTCTTTTTATCAATAAGGTCAATTGAAATAAGCAAAAAGGTTCAGTGATTAACTTAGCCAATAAATGTGAAACTATGGTTGGAACTTAACTTTTAGATTTACCCACATCTGAAGTGCCATTTCCTAAACAACTTGACTTAGGTCAGAAAAGAAAAACACACTATTTCATTCCAGTTGACTCATTGCCTCACAAGTTCACCGTAAAACAAGTTGCTAAGAGGTGGTGCTGCGCACTACTGCAACATCCCTTAAAGGACGAGGGGGCTGAGTAAGTTCACTGCCAACTGACTTCATTTCCCATAGTGCATCGTTCGGTATGAGGCTTGGCTGGGTAGAGAGAACAGGTGGGGCAGGTTTCTATTGTTACCACGAGTGATGTGAAGAGGGCAGGACTCAGGTGAGGAAGAACAGGAAAAACCGATGGGAGAAACTCGGTGGGAGGAACTGTAAACAAATGTTTATGTGTGTAAGAGAGCGTAAGAAAGTGCCTGGGACTGAAGACTGCTGTAAAAAGGACACATCTTTTCACTACTACTAACAGGAAGATTTTTTTTTTCATTTTTATTTGTTCATATTTTTTCTTTGGAGGGGCAGGGTGGAGGATTACTGGAGCCTGTCTTACAAGATGGGATGGATTTTTATGTCATTTGTTGCCGCGGGCAGTAAAGTGGGTCAACACCTGAGAAGGAGCTAAAAGGAGAAGCTGAACTGAGACCGCTTTTGTCCCGCTGAAAGAGCACAAGAGAGGAAGGACAGACTAAACTTTCTGGCAATACTAAAGAGGAAGAATGCATAACTGGACAGGAAACACATTCTTTTTTGGGGGGGGGGAATATACACAGAATTAGTTGATTTTTGCTGCTTCTACTATATTAACCACAAACTAATTTGGTGATAAATATTCTCCTTTAGCTGTTGCTGCTTTTTAAGTATCATTTTGGGCTCATTTTTATGCCTCTAAAGATAACTCATCACCTTTCAGCTACCAAAGGTCAAACATTCCAAGAGATCGACAGATCAGCTGAAGGAGGGATCATTTCCTCTACTCACACTGAAAACGACGCATACACACTCTCACACACTCCACTGCACTCCCACCATGCAGGCACCGCCACCTGAGCACGATGACACTTTTGATTTCCTGTTTAAGATCATCCTCATTGGGGACACCAACGTGGGGAAGACCTGCGTGCTCCAGAACTTTAAGTCAGGGGTTTTCTCTGACAAACAGCAGAACACCATCGGAGTGGATTTCACAGTGAGGACGGTGGATATTGAAGGAAAGAAAGTAAAGGTAAGCTTTCTACATAGCAGACATACAGGAGACATTAAATTAAGGAGTATAGATCTGAAAATGATATCGGCATAAGACTCAGCAGTGCTGAAATATGTTAGTAATACACATGCGAGCTATAATGGAAAGTAGAGATTCTACTTTCTACTCTAATTTTATAAAAAAAAAAAAAAAAGAAATTGAAATGAACGGCTCCCAAATTCATTTTCCCTGGGCTCCACATTTAGGAGACCTCTTTTCCAAAGGAGTTTCCTCAGTGACAGAATAGCAAGTGGCAATGGCAGTTTGACTCGGTCCAAAACAAGCCCGACAGGCTGCTGGTATGAAGAACCGGCCCATCAGGTTCCTCCCTTTGTGCCTTTGTGATGGCACAAGTAGATCATGGGCTGATCGCTCATGTCCTGCTCTTGCGCTCAAAAAGGAAGTTGTTACTTTTAGAAACTTTCATTTTCTACATACAAAAAAATAACATCGTTTCATAGTGTTTTTAAAAATGTTGTTATGGTTCAACGTATTTCATTGAGATTTTATGTGATGTGTGATGTGGCCAGCGCACAACTATGCATTACAAAGTTTTGCTTAACTTTTAATATTTAGGTATATTAGGGTAAAGAGTGCTGAATAAAAATCCACACCTGTCTTTTCAGGTATTTATGTGTAAAAAGGTTAAAAAAACCCACACATTTTCTTCTCATTTTACATTTTACGTTGCTTTGAATGACCATTTAACACTGATTCATCAAGTTTAAAAAGGATGAATACTTTCGCAATGTATTTGCAAAATAGCTCTATGTGAAGACAAGGCAATCTGTGATGAAAATTTGGGAGTGTTTTCCGTATTTAATCTTTTGATCTTATCATTGCAAAGAAAGAAAAAATGTTCACCATCAAAAAGCATTTTTGATCTAACAATAGAGCAATATTTTACTTAACATTTATGTGGCAAAACAGGTGGAATAGAGCAAGTCAATACAAATGAATGAGTTTGAGTGGCTTCAATTGGAAACATCTAGATGCATTGCATTTTACACAAACTAATTTTGTTTCTACGTCACTCTGCAATTATTAAAACTTATTAATAAGTTGTAATATACATGAACTGCAGTTCATGCATGTAATTGCATGTCATTATTCAAAAATAATGACATGAGTATTTTTGACTACTCAAGTGTCTGTTTCTTTTTCTTTATTTATTTTTTTCTTTTTATTACACCTTATCCTACATACAAAGGAAAGCAATCAAGTTTTTACTCCACCACTAAATCTCAGACTATTCAAACCTGAATTTACTTTCAGAAGACATGATAACTTGTATCCACTAAGTCGTGGCGTATTGGAAGGGGCTGGCCCGTTGAGTCTACACTGGTTGCTACAACGCTGCAAAGGTCCCCTAAATCCGTGGGGAATATTCTCAGAGATAAGGGCTTGGGATTCTCCACAGGGAAACCAACAGGCCTCCCCTGCCTACCATGTATATGTTTGTTGCTAACGCCCTCTGTAGTTTACAGGCTGTATAAATTGTCTACATATAAAATTATTAACTCAAAAGCCCCATTATTGTGGATCATTTTTGACAAACTCAAAGCAACATTTCCAATATCCTTGTATGCTTCCTGGCGGCCTCTAGCTTCTCATGATCTCAGTAGTGATCATTAAAGAAGGAAGAACAAGGTTTCAGTTAAAGTTTATGGATGAGACCATAATAAATAAGTGTCACATGGTCATCACCGGTTCCAAAATCAGGCAACTATAACACACAGATGACAAGAAGTGCGTTACATATTTTGTTGAATCTTTATTTATTTCAACCGGAGCAACATTTGCCTCAAAGCTGTGTATAACATAAAGTTATATTTAGTTTTCCTACAACAGTTTTTCTTGTATAGTTAGAAGCATTTTCCTTTTGCATCACTGACAGGTTACAACATGGCAGAGGAAGTGTTGGTCTGACACTTCCTGTCTTTGCCCTCATTTACATTTGACAGGTAAAGTGGTCTGGGTTCAGCCCAGGCCCGTATTTTGGGTCTGGGTTTGTTTGTTTCTGTTTGACGCTGTGCAACACTAACACTCTCATAAAAAGCAGCACACAATTATTTTTAGGTGGTTATTTTTGGCTACCTTTAAGTTACCGTAATAAAAAGAAAAAAATAAACACAATTAAATCATAGTGTCTCATGTTTGTTGCCAACTTTGTTCAGTCACCCTCACAAAAGTAAAAATCCCCTTAAATCCTTACATTTTCTTGTGTGGATTAAAGGGGCAGACTCTGTCTTTTAGTGCTGTAGTTGGCTAAAATTTGAGCCTCTATGCAAAGTTCTGCATCATTTTGCGGGGTTAAGAAAGGTGAGGTTTAACTGACTCAAGACTGTCACAAAATTATCTCTATGATTTAGGCAAATTTAAAAATCTAAATTTTCTAACTTCTCGAAGCAGCAAGCTGTGCTAACACCAGCTTCTCTGTGAACAAGCACAAAAAGAACATGTGTATTTTTCTGCTTCCTGACCCTGTTTTTGGGAGTTCGGTTGCTTTATCTTTCATCCTCGGCAGCCCCCCAAACACAGGCACTAATGGGAGTTCATAGATTTCTGGTCCTCGCCCGAAATGATGCTTTTTTCATAATTATCTTTGACAAAATGGTGAAACTTTGCAATAATTTTAACTCTTTGTAGTGAAATAATCGTGAAAATTGTTTTCTTAAAGGCATTGCTGATTGATTTTCCCAATATGCATTGTGTTCATGTAAATTTCAAACCACCAGATGAATGACTCTTTCTAGTACATGAAAGCCTTATTCGAGCATGAACTTACTCTTGGACTCATTATTTCTCTGTGATACAGATGCAGGTGTGGGACACAGCAGGTCAGGAGAGGTTTCGGACCATCACTCAGAGTTACTATCGCAGTGCTCATGGCGCCATGATTGCCTATGACATCACACGAGGCTGCACCTTTGATTCGGTGAACCATTGGATCAAGGAGGTAGAGTTGTATGGAGCTGCCAATGTACTCTTGGTACTAATAGGTGAGTTGGATTTTGACTTTTGTAGCAAATTAAGATACCATGCATGTAGAGAGCAAATTGATTGATTTTGATCTATGACTTTTTATGTATTTGGTTGAAAATATACCATGCCACCAAGGTCCATATCTGTTTACTCTAAAAGAAAAGAAAAGCAAGAGAACATAGCATAACAAAATGATTTCAAAAGAATGTTTGATTGAACTTGAACCATACACGCTTGTCAATCCCAGACGTCAGCAGGATTATGTGTGCTGCCAATATGGCTTCATGTCCGTCTCCACTTAGGTAACAAATGTGACATGGAGGAGGAGCGGGAGGTTCCGTTCGAGAAAGCTTGCAGTCTGGCAAAAGAAAAAGGCATACTCGCTGCTTTGGAAACATCCGCCAAGGTAATGCTTTCAAACACGACCTAGACTCTGTAATTTAGGTTGAATTTTATTATTATTATCATTTAAAGCATTTCCTCTTTTAGGAAAGTCAGAATGTGGAGGAAGCCTTCTTGATGATGGCCAGGGAGCTGCTGTCTCGTAACGGCCTCAACGTCCAGCAGGATAACGTTGAGAACAACGGCATGCCTCGGATCCTCCTCAGAGAGAACTCTCGACCAATCAGTGTCAGCGTCGGCGCCTACGTTCCACCAGAGAAAGAGAAGAAGTCGTGCTGCTGACGCAGAGAAACTGTGACTGGAGATGCTTGAAGGGTTTTATTTATCGGGAATGCTGATGAATGGAATGAAAGAAAGCAGAAGGATTCCTGGATGAAGATCTGTGAGGCATGATATACTGAGTATCTGCCAGAAGGCAGATGTCAAAGAGATGGTGAAGAAACATTCATTGTATTTGATCTGAGAGGAATGCTGATGAAGCGTCTTCACCAGAAAGATCTGTGATTAGTGTTCAGGAAACGCTACAGCCAAACGATCCCCTTTCATATCAACTGGTCCATGCTGCTAATATTTTTCTAAATTCAAATAGTTTAAAGTAAATACATTTACAGCACTGGAAGTCTGACAGTACGCTAAGTGCTTGGGGTTTTTTACGATGCGATTTTGTTCAAATTAAGTTGAAATGTTTTTGAAAGAGGTTTTTTTTTTTGCCTATGTGGTGTCTCTTAGTACCACCGTGAATTTAAGTTTCCAAAACGGCTTGCCATACACAAAGCTACTGTGAAATATGTCTGAATTGATTTCACGACGCAGCTGCAAAAAAAGCTGTGAAAATAATACATGCCATATTTGATCATGAGTAGCTTTCGGCGAACTCTTTCAGCATGTCAGTAAACTCTGACCTCTGAGGACAAATATGACTTTTCTAACCCGTTGACCACTGAAGGGACAATGTCTGAACACTAGATGGTGCTGTGCTGCACCTCATGATGGAGCTGCTGTTAGGGTTGCTTTTGCCTTTATATATATATATATATATATATATATATATATATATATATACATAACAGATACGTGATTTGAAAGAAAAAAGTATCCAAATAGAAACAGTTTGCCTCAAAGCCATTTTCCGGAAAATATATAATATATTATTACAATGAGGTCATCACACGAGAAAAAGAGGTTATTACTTTTTGCTAAATCTAGCTTTGCTTAAGAGATTCATACATCTATGAATATTTGCTAGACTTGGCCATGTTTCATTAATAAAATTCAGAGATTTTTAATTTTGTTTTATTTCCCTTTGTATAACTTTGTGTTGGCCTGTCAAAAAACATGTAAAAGCATTGGGGAAAATGTTATACAGGTGGCAACTGTTGCTAATATGCACCAAATCTCCCTTTCCAGCAAGCATTTAATGAATCATATCGGTCTTGGCTATGAAATCATTTTTGTGCTTTTGATTAATACACTAGTTAAAAGTGGAAAATGGACTTGAAATGTATCCGTGAGGCAGAACTACAGTCAATACCCGGATTCAGAGGCCAAATGACACAAAAAGCTTGTTTGTAATAGACCTAATGTTTCCGTAATAATTCCCGTGCAGTATCACATCACTATAATAAATGTTCTGCTGGTCAGTAGAGCTCTAGGCAAATTCTCAGTAATGTCCTTGTAGGACAAGCTGAGCCAAAATCAGCTTCCTGTCATTTCTCATGGTCGAGCCTTACGCCCAAATTAAATATGTCTACCCATAAAGTTTGCTATTAATCACTCCCGTTCCTTAGGAAAACAAATAATCAGAAAAAATAGACCAAGTTTATTTTCAGAAAACAGGCAGAAAATGACAGATTAACATGGAAAAAAAAGGTGAAATAAACTAACAAAAAAAAGTACATATCCCAAGCCCAAAGTTACTGTAAAAGAAAAAAAGAGAGTACCTTCTGATCACTAGGGTTTTGCAACCTAAACAGTCTGGATTTGGAATGAGATAAATAGAAATTTAGGTCTCTTTATCAATGCCTTGAAAAACGTCAAAACTCGACAATGAAACAGATGAACATTAAAAATAAAATGTCAATCATCCTGCATAAGTTTTCCATTACTTAAAAATGATATTACCTCTGAATGACTTCACCCCAATTTTGTGCTTCACATTACTTTTTCCTCAAACATCTAATTGCCAAATCCCACTTTATTAATCTATGTTGACCTCTGACCTGCATGTCAATCGTCATGTTAAAATTTCTCTCAAAGTCTAACCACACCGGTCGATTTTAGCTCAGCCTGATGATCTCAAAACCATTCTCCTTCTTTTCTTTTATGGGCTGGGGTAGAAGCTGCCCTTGTCCCTCGCCCATATCCCCGATCGCCTCATTCTCTGACCCTCCTTGTCCTTCCTGCCCAGTGTCGTTCCCCTCCGTTGGTTTATCCACAGGACATTCCCCGTTGTAGGTTTTGACGTATTCTTCCACTCGCCAGCCCCTGAACTCCAGCGGCTCAGAGCAGACCAGGCCCGTGTACGAGACGCTCGGGTGGTGCTTGAGCCAGTAGACCAAGTAGTGGATGTTGTAGTCGCAGACCCACGGGTTGTTGTCCAGCTTTAGCCTCCGTAGGAAGTACAGGTCCTCCAGCACGCCGTACTGGAAGTAATGAAGGCTGTTGTTGGACAGGTCAAGGTCGCGAAGGTACAGCAGGCCTGCAAAAGCAGCTGAGATGGGAAATATGCAATAAAAGTTAGCCTGATTCACAAAGTACCAAATACAGTTTCATTTGGAACTAATTATACACACTCAAACACAACCGTCAAATGTATGTGTAACTCCTGCAACAACACCTTGTGTTAAAATGTCTCCCCAGTAACTGAGACATTTACTGGGGAGACAGTAAATGTAAATTTAAAATCTAAATCGGTTGATTTAGATTTTAAATCTAAATCAACCGATTTAGATTTAAAACATAGATCGGTTGAACACTGAGCATTTATGCAGAGATGATCTGCTAGGACGAAGTTTGCTTTCAGTAAAAGTTGAGTCTTTGTTTATTTGTGTCAAAAGCTGCCAGTCGAGATGGTTTTGTGAATGTGATAGCCTCTGGATGTTTTCCGCGGGAGGTCATTCAGATAAGTCTCACTCGAGTGGCTTTGAGGCAGACTCGGGACTATTTGAGAGATCATTGCTATCTCATGACTGACTTTGGAATTTTTCTGAGAAACGTTTATTATCCCTGACACCTATTCGCAGCCTTCTGCTTGTCGTCTGCGTTCGTTTTGTGGGTCATTAGAGACCTTGTGGATGGATTCTCCAAAGGAATAAAAATAAGCAATATAACAAGTGAATATGGGGGCAGCGTGGCTCACGTACGGTCAGCAAAAGAATGAAGATGAAGACGGTTCATTTTAGGATGAACAGTGCACATAATGGCCGGAGGTTTCTCACTGACACCAAAAGTAACAAATTTTTTTAGAACAACAAACCAGTCGGCACATGAAAAAGGCCAGATTACATGAATAGAATAACAGACAGTGACTTCAAATAGGGATAATAAACGTCTTTGAGAGCTTCTAGTCGGGTGACTGGTCTGCTTTTCTCAGAATGCGCCTATGAAAACATGTGCAAGTGTTTAGAGTGGGCGTAAAGGGACGGCGGAGACTGTTTCTTGCTGTCCATCAGCCTCCGGTCCTGCTTTTATCTTTACAGAGCGGAAGGGAGAAAGAGGAGGAGGTGGGAAGAAAACTGGAACGAGAAGACCAAGCGTGATAGAAAGCCGGGGGAAAATTAAAAACTTCGCGGAAATTGCAAAAGACGTAAACGGCAAACACTTTCATTTTCATGCTAAGGTCTGAGAAATGTTGAGTTTGTTCAGCTGTGTTTAAACGGCACGGGTAAACGGAAGCGTAGCAGAGAGAGAAGGAAGAATGAGGGGTGTCCTCCACTTCTCCTGACTCATGGAACCGGTGTTCCCAACCCAGTGACTGTTCCTTTGGTTGTTGAAGTCACCAGAACCAAACCAACTCCTGTTGTTTCCCCAGAGGGTGAAATGAACTTAGCTATTTTTTAATCATTACGAGTCGTAATGACTGATCTGTAAGTCAACCAAACTTGCAGCTTGGCATTTCATCACCGGGAGCCCCTAACAGTCATGTTTCATCTCGAGTCAAGGACAAAATTGGTGTTTTTTTTTGCTGCAAACCAAAACTTTCCGGCGCAATTCCAACCCCACCAAAAATAACTGGATGGATGTCGACGCATTCACTTGTAGCAGTCCATAAAACGTCGTGGATTTGCTTTTATCCTCTCTCCCCTTACCCACCATGGCTCTCTGGTCATCCTCCACTTGAAAAGGATAAATAAACAACCTCTTAAACATTCACTCCAAATGTGAACATGATTAGAAAGGTTTTTTTGGGGGGAGGATTGCGACCATATGTCTCGGAGTCTTACAAGCTCTCAGAATTAAATGGAGCTTCTTCCATTGGTTCACAGATTGCTTTAGACACGCTGGGGCGAGCCGCGATAGATAGCTTGCACGTCTCGATGGCTAAAGAGAAAAGCTACAAGCGTTTGTGGCAGGATTTGCCTGCCGGGCAGGAGAACTTGAAGCCAGAAATGGTTAGGCTGGTGTGAGTAATGGATCGGCTTACTTTTTAGGAATGTCTCTGCTTCTGTGTTCAGAGAAGATAATCAGACAGAGAGAGAGAGAGAAAAAACTTCATAAGATTACCAAATTCTCACTTTGTTTTCTGTTTGATGCTCTGATGGTATTAATTGTCAATTATTTTATCTAAATAATGCATTGGTGCATAAAATCTGTTCATCTCCATTTAGGAGATAGAAGCGCATCTACGTGTTCTATATTCCTTGTCACCTTCATACGTTTAGTTTTTATTTTAATGCATTTTGTGCTATGTCTATATCCTAACCCTAAGATTTCCCTTGTTCAAAATAAAGTTGACATAGATGCAGGTCCCAAGAATCGTTCTAGTTTTACCTACATTTCTAAAATGTTTGAAAAAAAAAAAAAAGTTTGGTCGACTATTTGTCAAAACTGCAATTGAAAACGCCTGAAGAGACTTATTCTTTCTTTTATTGTCTCAGGAGTTGAGTCAGTTGGGTGGTATGTTGTTGTTGCTTATTTCATTACATAAATAGCAAAAGACTGTATTCATATTTAAAAAGTCACACACCTTACACACGCTCGGAGGCTGGTTTAAGACTGGTTCATGTCTGATTTCTTTTTATTAATGTCAACGTAAAATCCATCAGAACTAGTTTGAGATTCCAATTCACCTGCCTGGATTTGTTGTTGAATAGCCTGAGAAAGACGTACAAAGCTGTGAAGAGCAGAGAAACCCATATCTCTACAAAAATGAAGACTGGTCTGTCAGGATTCCATGCTGCTGAGTCGTTCTGGAGGTCGATTTATTGATCCTAGATTTATTATTATTCTGTGTTCCTTCGTCTCTTTCTTTCATCAGATGTTTAGTCATTGTTTTCTTGGTGATTCTCGTCTATCTCTTGCGCTGCTCTAGTTTATTATGCTATGTCTCATCATCCTTTAGTGTTGGATTCATTTCCTCGTCCCTCCTGTAGTCTCCCTCGCCCCCTGGCCATTTTCTCTCTCTCTCTCTCAGTCTGTCTACTGCTGTCTCGCACCTGCAACCTGTTTCTAATCAGGCGTCTCCTCCTTGTTCCTCATCAAGCTCCTCGGCATATGTAGCGCTCGTTTTCAGTCTCTCCTCCTTATTACCTGTTACTTCCCATTTTTATTGTGCTGACTGTTTCCTGTACTCCGGCTCCCCGTGTTCTCTCTTTTGTGAACCTTTTTTTTTTTATTAAACGTTCATCATCAACTTGCCATTTCTGCCTCTCTGCATTTACGTCCAATTCCACCACCAATCATGACACAGATTTTCAAGTAAGGCTCAGGGGATAAGTCTTAATCAATCGCTATACCAGACGAAGAGACTTTAAAGCATCCAGCACAATAAATTCCTCGAACATGTACGGTACATCTGTCTGTCATTCATCTTTTGGGTGGCGCTCATCATTTTTGTGTTACCTGTGTCTATGTGTTGCAGGTTGTTGCTGCTGAGGTTGAGCAGCTTGAGTTCTTTAGACAGCAGGAATTGTTTGGGCCTGAGATGCTTGATGATGTTATTGGACATGTCCATCCCCACTATTTCCAACGGCAGCTCCGGTGGAATTTGGTTCAGATCTGTGGAGGGGAAACGAAAAGAGGACTGTTGAAGGAGAAAAGGCAAGGACGAGAGAGTGAACAGGTCAAACCAGACCTTGCATTTGTCGCGAGATGCAAAGGTGCATTCACATTGGGTTTTTGAAATCAACACCACGTCTCCCCACTGATAGATTTACAGCTAGGAGGCAGATGCGCAAAACACATGAGGTTGGAGCGGAGCCCGAAGGGAGGGTTGGAAACTCATTCAGTCTGGATCTTATATGTTTTCAAGATGTTTTGTCGGTTGTGTGCGACCTTTTTATGTGTTCAAGATGGAGCGTGTACAACATTGCTTGACTTGTTTTTTCCCCCCAACTGTCCCAGCTTCATACACACTAATTTGTCTTTGATAAGATTGTGACGGGTGATTTTCATCTTCCTTGCACTTGGAAGACGTACATTTAACAAGGTAACCACAAAGCTGTGAATGAAAAGGTGTACATGTAACATGCTCTGACAGTAAATGTCATGTGAAGCTAACTGCATATGTGCTTAACATATGGTGAAAAACCTCATGCCAAAAAAATGACATTTTAATAGTTTATGAATTGGTTTTGTGGCTCCTACAGACATCACACTTGATTCAC